AGATGTTTTCTGTTGTTACCTCTCTTCTTGCTGAAACCATAAGGTTCCCAGTGGCAGGCCTGGCTGGTGGCATTTCTTTTCACATTACCCTCAGATAAAGGAGTTTTCTGTAGATCTTCTGAATTAGTTGAAGCTGAAATGGGTATTGTCATAGCATCACCTGGGTCCCAGGTGATAGTTTATATGTCTTGATTTTTTTTGGGGGGGGGGTACTGGGGATCGAACTCGTGACCTTGCACTTGCCAGGCAGGTGCTTATGTACTGAGCTAAATCCCCAGCTCTGTTTTAATTTTTGTGTGTGTGTGTATCAGAAATTGAACTCAGGAGCTTGTGCTTGCCAAGCAGGTGTTGCTGAACTATGTCCCGGTTTTTTTCTGACCTTTATTTATTTATTTTGAGACTAAGCCCCATTATATTGCCCAGACTAGCTTAAATTCCTGTCCTCAATTGATCTTCCTGCCTCAAACTCCTAAGTACGGGGACTAGTTTACATAATTATTATTATTATTATTTTCTGTAGTACTAGAGATCAAATCTAGGACCTTGAACATGTTCAGCAAATACTTTACCTCTCAGCTATAATCCTAACCTAAAAATATTTAAGGGCCTCACTATGCGGTTCAGGCTGGCTTTGAGCTCTTTTTGTAGCCCAGGCTGGTCTTGAATTTGAGGTGATCCTCCAGCTTCTGCCTCCTGAGTGCTGTGATTACAGGTGTGCTCTACCATGCCCAGCTAGGTGATAGGAGTTTTGAGCATTTCTTGAGGTGGTAAGGGCAGATCTCTCCATTGAAAGGGCATCAGTTCCCTTCTATAATTAATAAAATTACTGATGGGGTGATATTTTGAGATTCCTTGAATATCCTATCCCTTGAGAACTTTCATGTAATGGTTTTAACATCTGTGGAAAGCCTGGTCGACATCAGTTGTATTTATAAAAAGATGATTTTTCTAATTCTGCCTTTCATTTGATATTTGTCATGTGACCAGTTAGCTTTCAGCCCCTTCTCTGCTCTACTTTTAAAAAACATGAATTCTTTTTCTTCCAGTATATTACAATACATTTTCAATCTTCTGAAAATCCTCACACCCTGAGTTCTGAAATTATAGGTATATGTCTCCACGCTTGGCATAAATTGTCCCAAACTTTGCCAGTGGATGCCTTTTTAAAAATACAACCTTATTTAATCCTAAAAGCTTTCTGAAAAGTGTGCCAGATTTTTAACATAGTGAGAAAACCAAGTCTGGGAACCCAGGAAACTCTTGCAAAGCCAGTTCTGACTTCTAAGGTGGTTCCTGTTACTCTACACTGCCTCCTGGCTGTCCAGGAGCAGAATGCTCCCGTCTGAAATCAAAATGAAAAGAATGCAATCATTGTCCCTGTTACTAAGAGCAAGTGATTCGAGATGACCCTAAGTGTGCAACAGAAGGAAGGTGGTTAAATAAATGGATTTGATAGGGAAAGCTAGGAGACTACAAATAAGAATTGGTGTGTTCTCTTAAGTTACGATAAAGAGATCTTCAGGTGTATGTTAAAGGAAAGAAGTATAGACCAGTAAGATATTTTGTGAGAAAAGGAGAGATAAGAAAAATACATGTGAACCAGGAGTGGTGGTGCACACCTGTAAGCCTGGCACTCTGGGAGGCTGAGGCAGGAGGATTGGAAATTTGAGCGCGCACATAAATTCCTATATAAGAAATCATCTCAATGTACTGTTAATTTACATGTAATCATGATCGTCACCCAGAAAGTTAGGGGTTATGTTCATTTTTCATTTTGGACATATTTGGACCAGACTTAGCATTTGGACAGCTGCTTCTTACCTTCTTTTCCTCTTCCTTTCTCGCCCTGCTACCCAAACACAAGTTTCTGATTTTATCTTAGGCATTTTAATTAGTGCAAAATCTTAATTGTCTTGGCAGACAAAGTTGAATAAACTTTTCTTTTAACGACTCAAAAATTTTGGTTTCTAAGAGCTGACATGGGAAAGAATGCTTCTAGTCTGGAAGATTCAAGTAGTAACATCAAAAGGAACTCACGTCCTAGGAATTGTGAATGGGATGGGAAGCTCAATTTCTTTTGGGAGAAACTGAAAAAAAAATACTTCTGTCTGAAATAGTAATAGAGAACCACTTATTTTTCATTTTTCTGTGTAAAATCTCAGTATATGAGTGATTAATCCAAACCCCCAAACCAAACTAAACCAAAAGAACAAAAACGAGTAGGAAAATCCTTAAATAATCCTAATTAAAATATTTATGGGCTCTAGGACATGCTACTTTGCTGAGATGATCTCTAGTTTAACAGATAAGATTGTTTCTTTGAATTGACATTTTCAACTCCTGGAGCTGCAGCTGTATAGCTCAAGATTCCAAATTTAGTGTCACCAATTCATGGTGATTGCAGTAGGGCTGTCCTTGTGGCTTTTTTGAAAATTATTTATTTATTTTTTTATCGGTACTGGAGATCCAACTCACGACCGTGCACTTGCAAGGCAGGCGCTTATGCCACTGAGCTAAATCCCCAGCCCATGTCCTTGTGTTTTGATCATTATTTGCCATAAATTGTTGAGTTTTAGCCTTCACTACCCATTTTGCTTTTATGACCAGCAAATGAAATGGCTGTGTATATAATGTCACTTTTATTATGTATATTTATAGTACTAATAGAAACATTTTTTATTTTAGGATGTACCAAGTACAGTACTGTTTTACATAACTTACTGATTGCTTTACATAAGTTATTTCCTTTATGCTAAAAGCTCTACAGGAAATAACTGAATCTCTGAGAGAGTGAGCATCATATCAAAGATCATTTGACTGCTAGGAGGCAAATCAGGAAAAAAAATTAAGACCATTTTACTGTGCTGTGCAAATTTTTTTCACGAATTTTGAAACTGTGTAGAAGCTGATAAAGTTTTCACTTTATCACTGGAACTGAGTCCTGTTTTACTTACTTAATAGATGTTTACTGAAGTCCATCAAAAGCCAGGATCCTGGAGCAGTGATTGAGATCTAGGCCTTTTCATTAAGAAATCATAATCAATTGGAAAAGATAAAATAAACTTCTGTGCTCCCATACCCATGGCATAGTCAAAAGGTGGAAGCATCCCAAGTGCCCATTGATGGATGAATAGATAAACAAATGTAATGTATGCAGACAGTGGAGTATTATTCAGCCTTACAAAGGAAGGAAATTCTGACACATGCTATAATATGGGTGAACTTTGAAAACATGCTAAGTGAAATAAGCCAACCACAAGAGGACAAAGACTCTACCGTTCTACTTATATGAGGTATTGAGTTGTCAAAGTTGATAGAACAGGAAGTAGAATGATGGTTACAAGAGTGAGGGAGGAGGAAATGGGAAATCATTTAATGGGTATTGGGTTTTGTTTTTTTCCCCTTTTATTGGGTACTGGAACCCGAACTCAGTACTTCATGCTTGCCAGAAGGGTATTTTTAAAGTGAAGAAATTTTAGCATAGTTTGCACAAATTACTAATTTTATGCTATATATATTTTACTACAACTTAGTAAAACAAAGTAACTGTCTTAGTTACTTGAAGTAACTTGTCTTAGTCCATTTGTACTGTCATAACAGAATACCTGAGACTAGCTAATTTGTAAACAACAAAAATTATTTCTTGTAGTTCTAGAGGTCAGGAAGTCTGAGAGCAAGGCACTGGCAAGTTTGCTATTGGGTGGGGACTGTTCTCTGCCTCCAAGATAGTGCTGTGTTACTGTGTCCTCAGATGATAGGCGTGTCATAAGACACTCATGAAAGCAGAAGCTTCATGACCTAATAATCACCTGCAAAAGGTCTCAGTACTGTTCACACTGAAACTTAAATTTCAACGTGAACTTTGGAGGAGACACAAACATTTGAATCATTGAGCTTTTACTGTGTGATAGAAAGTGGTCAATGAGATGTGGAAGGACTGATGTTGCCATAGGGATTGGCTTCTTAGGTACATCTTGCTGGCAAGGGAAGGTAAGTAAGATTTGTGTGGCTGTGAGGAAGGTGGGAAGGGCAACTCAGATGATGGGAACAGTGAACTGAGGAGAAGTTACAAAGCAGCTCTTAGAATCAATTCTAGGGAGGGATAAATCTCCAAGTACTGTATGTACATGGTAACCCAGCCACCTTTCATGTAGGCAGAGACTGACAAGCAAAGTGTAAACCATAAAGTTGTGGTATGCTGGGCAAGAGGAACCCATTCATGATTCATTTGGTAAACATTTATTTAACACTTAGTGCTGGGTGCTATGCTATTCACTTTATGTATGTTGGCAGATTTAATACCCCCAACAACTCTGGAGTTATTAATAGCCCAGTTAACAGATGCAGAAATTATGACTCAGAGAGATGAAGTAACTTGTCCAAAGTTCCAAGACTGGTAGGTTGCAAAAGCAAGGCTTTACCTGCAGCTTGTGTACTGTGTTTGCTAACTGTACGACCTCCCCCTGGAAAAAAACGTTAGTATCTAACTCTATGTGTAGTTAACTAAGTCAAGCACTATGCTGTGCTATCTAATCTTTGTTGAGTAGTTACTAAGTCAGGAATTGTGCTTAGCTCTTTATAGGCCTCATTTTATATTATCCTCCCTATAGTCCCTGCAGGTAGGAGTCCTTATCCTCACTTTACATGTGTGGAAACTGAAGCTTAAAGAGGCTGTGGCTTAGTATTAAGAGAATGGGCAATGATTCAGAGGTAGGTTTTTCAGGGGTAAGTTTTTCAGACCTTTTTCTTTTCCTCTTGCTGTGCTTCTTCAGAATCTTAACCTTTCTATTTCTGGAAGAACTATGTCAAAGTATGAGTCTCCTTGTTTGTCAGCGGGGCCCAGGAGAATAATGACAGTCATGTCAACTCTTCAAGTTTTCTAACACAGCAAAGGTAGTTTTCCCAATTCCTATGTCATCCTTCTGAGGTTGTAGATCACTGCCCCCCCCCCATAAGTTGTTTTTCCTAAAACATTAATGCCTCCCCCTTCTCAGATAGAATATGACTAGTTGATCTTTGCAATTTGTGTCTTAGAAGTCACTAAAAAAAAATCATCTGAGAGAATGCTCATTGAGGCCAGCTATGTGTTTGATCTTGTCTCTCTATCAGAAAGGACAATTTCAGCTTATTACTCCAGATTTTATCTTTGGAGCTCTGAGAAAAACTGGTTGTCAGAGGCCTTGGCTATAAGAGTTTGACAGATCACATGGAAGTCTGAGCCCTTTTAATCTTCTGTCTCAGGGTCCTTCCTTCCCTTTCAAGGTCTCTGGTGGGCTTGGTGCCTTATCAGGAATGATTTGCCAGCTTGCTTTGCAGACCAAGTACCAGTTCCAGGCCTTCTGACTCTCTAGAAAGGTCCAATGTAGGGCTGCATGAGACATGGAAAACCAACCCTCGATATGGGTTCATAAATTTTGAGAGGGGCGAAAAGTCTTCTCTGCCTAGGTCACTTCTTTGCCTTGATTTTCCATAGTTTGAGCTATAGCGGAATGAATAGGAGACAAGAGCTCAAGTCCTGGCTCAAGTCACCAACCCTGTGATCATTGGCCTCTCTGGGCCTCTTTCCCCAGCTGTAAATGAAGGGCTGACTGTCACAGCTTCATTCTCTTGTTCTGAGTTAAGTAATTCAATGTGCAGCATAAAAAGGCTTCATAACAAGTCAGTAAAATATGTTACAGATGTCAGTGCTTATTGATGTACATTCAATTTGGCTCCACAAGGAAACTTTCTGGATTCTGTATGGAGTGCCTACTCTGTCATCAATAGCTTTAGTTCTTGGCAAAGTTGATCATTGTCTACAGAGGCTTTCCTAGCATCCTTTTCGTATTTATTCATGTAATCTTCCCATGTTTAGTCTTATACATATTACTGGAAGCTTTGGTGATTCTTGAACATTCCTTTTAGAAAGTTCTGGTCAGATTTGTTTACGAGTATTTAGAACTGATTACTCAGAGTAATGATTTGAACTTTCAGTGCTGCCTGTGGATCCATTTCCCAATAAAATCCAGAACTACAGAGGTGATTATTTACGATAAGTGAGGTTGAACTTGCTTGCTAGAACTCAGGATGGTGGAGAACTCTTGAGAGTATCTTGGTAGGTAAACCCTAAAGCAGGGCTGTTAAAACTTCACACACTGCTTTGGGAATAAAAGGAGTGAAGATGAGTGAGGAGCTTCTGTGAGTGGTTTATGAATTTAAAGCCTGACATCTTTTGTGCATTTTTGTTTGTTGGAATTATTACCCTGTTCTGAGAAATTTTTTAGGTGTTTCCAAGACACTTGAGGATTGTCGCATACTTTCCTATTCTTGGCACTTCAGATGACTGCTATTCTGTCTCCCTAACTTTTCATTAGAATTAACTGCAAGTGAAAGAATCCCACTTGAGCAGAGGCATAACTTGTAGGAGTTATTTTACATAACCATAGGTAGAATCAGCTGAGGAGACACTAGAACTGAAAACTGCCAAAACATCCTCCAACTTTCAATGGCTTTTTGCAAAAATGAAGTTTTTTTCTTCATATAGCAATTCACTGTGGTTTTTCCTGCTTTGGCTACCTTTAGTGTTTCAAAGACCCAAGCTTCCTCTGCCTTTTAGCTCCTCTTCTATTCTGAATTTTGTCCTGTAGTTTGGGAAAGAGATTGGAGGATCTTATGTAGTAGGTTTTTGTTGGTCAGGTCTTAAAGTGGCTGATCTCACTCTGTCTTCATTCCATTCAATTATAATGGGTTTTGGCCCCACCTATGAGTAAAGGATGCTGGGAAATATCATCTGCCTGACTGGGGGGGGGGTGAAATAAAACAGTTTGGTGAGAACACCTAGATAATTTGAATGACATAGGATTTCAAAGGATGTGAAGATTGTGCCTGTTCCCTTGGCTTCCCTCCTATTATGGCAAGGCTCATGGCCACTGAAGAAGGATTGACCTGTCCTTTGACTGGCTCTAAATAGAAACTCTTAAGAGTAACAGCCTGCTTCAGATCATGTGAACAACCTGAGGCAATCACTGGTGACTGAATGGGTGGAATGACGTAGAATAGAGAGGTAGCCACTGGGCCCCCACCTTGCCTGGTTGCTCTCCAAGAAGGGGCTTTATTGTTACCTCTTCTGGCACCACTAAAAGGGTCCAACTCTTTTTGCTCTTCCTATTATGGAAAATTCACTGCAGTTTTGTAGTCATCTTTCCAGCCCTCCTTACCATAACTATACCAAATGACTGCATTTTGTTGAGTCTGTGATTTCTAACGTGCTATTATTTTATGTACCACTGGAAAAAAAGGAGAAAAATCAGGCTCCAAATAAAATGACACAATGCTAAGATCCCACCCATTGTAAAATGTATCTGTCTTACTTTTCTTGTTGCTAAGACAAAATATCCACCATCCAAAGTTCAAAGAGGAAAGGTTTCTTGTAGCTCACAGTTCATAGAGTTTTCAGTCCATAATCAGCTGACTGCAAGGCAAGATAGCATGACAGAGGAGTATCACAGAGGAGAAACAGTTCATGGCAGGCAGAAGGGAACAAAAGCAGAAAGCAGCAAATGACACATCAACTGGACCCTTCTTTCTGTCTCTTATGTTCTATCCCTAAGGGCATGTAGCACTCATGCCCAGGATGGGCTTCCCATTATCCATATCCAGAACTATGCCAAGCCAATCAGTGGACTAACTTAGGCATCACACACTTAATCCCAACATCACACAGTCTAGATCCAGTCACCTATGAAAAGCCCATCTATGACCACATGAGGCTTTGGGGAACAGCTAGACATAAGCTGTAGCAGCATCCTAATTTCTAAGCTGTCAAAATGTAAAAAGTAGTTTTTAGAACTGATAAAAGGTGGCATTTATTACCCTACAACAAGCTGTATACTCTCATGCCTGGTACCACTGCTCATTTTGTTTGTTTGTTTCTTTTTTTATCTTTTTGAAACAGCGTCTTGATATGCAGATTAGGTTGGCCTTGAGCTTACTTTGTAGCCTAGGCTGGTCAAGAATTTGCAATGGTCCTCCTGCCTCAGCCTCCCTAGTGCTGGGATTACAGGCATGCACCACCATGCCTACCTTCTCATTTTGTTTCTTAAATCCATCCTAGTTAAAAGAAAATAATCTTAGGTCAGGTGGTAATCAGACAAATTCACCTCCTGCCTTTTTAATCTTTAACAGTCTTTCCCCCCTTTTCAGCCGCTCTCTGCTAATCATTACTTTAACAAAAGCTTCATGAAGCAGGTTATTTATGAAGAAAATGGTTTATTTTGCTTACAATTTTGGAGGCTGGAAGTCGAAACAACATGGTGCAGACTCTGGGAAGGGATATGTGACTGATGACAACAGAGAGAGAGAGCTCAAAGGATGAGGCCACATGGAGAGGCAGGAAGCCAGAGAGAGACTGGTGGGGGGAGCAGGCTCAGTTTTTTATAACAACTTCCTCTCGTGAGAACTCACTCTGGGGGACCAGCATTTCCTTCTGAGGACAACAACATAAGGACCCAGTGACCTATGGCCTTCCTATCAGGCCCACCTCTTCAAGATTCATATCACCTCCCAACAGCAACAGTATGGAGACTATGCCTCCAGCACATGGCTCTTTGAGGGGACCAAAGAACCTCCAAGGCACAGCACTATCCTTCCTTTCTCCTTTCATTCTAGTGTTAGCGTATGTTACAATGAATTGTGCACTGATAGGACCCTTGTCCTCAGAGGACTTACAGTGTCGGGTAGTGGGGCAGTAGGGCATGGAGCGACAAGCATATAATCAAAGGAATAAGTGAGAATTATAGCTCCTGTTATTAAGGTGTACAGGGCACTGTGGGTCCCCATATTGAGGGAATGATCAATTCTATTTTGAAGGGTGAGAATGATTATGATGCTTACTCTTAAGATGATTATGTCATTTTGATAGAATATGCAAACCAGGCACTTAGAAGGCTGAGGCAGGAGGTCCACTGGTGAGTTCAAGAACCTATCTCAAAAAATGAAAAGAAAAAACAAAGTGTACATTCTCTTTTGAGTGTTAATAGGTAATTATTTCCGTAGATACTTGATAATAATAACTAAATAGAACACATTATTTTCCAAAGCGTATTTAAGTCACTTTGTATTGAACTTCACTTTCAAGAGGCACATGTGGGCTCCTTTTCTTTGGGAAAACATTAATGAGTAGTCTGAAATGGCTTTTGTGGAGACAAAGTGAGGAGATAATGAGGTTTATCCTATTGTGGAGGCAAGCTGCATTTTAAAAAAATATTAATTACTTACCTTTCAGGGGATTCTGTTTTAGACTTTAGTGGCTGCTCTAAATCACATGCCACAGCAGGCAGGAGGGCTTGGAGCAGCTACAGAGAGCAGTGCTAGTGAGATTCCAGGAACAGAATTTGGAGAAAATGTGGGTGAGGCTGTTTGGATCTGGAGAACAGTCATGACAAGACTTTTCCTCGGTGGGGCCCAGAGCCAGGGCAGTGCAGGATCCTCGTCTCTTAAGCAATGATTCCAGCCAAGGTTGAGCCCATGAGAAAACAGCAAGACTCGGAGAAGGAAAGAGATTTGTTTGTGGTTCATAGAGAGGTCACCAGAGAGAGCCAATGTCAGTTTGTTCGAGCTTTAAAGCGTACTTAAGGAGTCAGGGGAAAAAAAAAATCCGGATTTAAACTGTTCTCTTGTCTGGTTTATGAACTGGCTGAAAATGAGCACCAAACTATTCAACATTTTCCCCCCAGGCCAGAGCAAGCTTTTGGCAGTGGTCGTGGTCAGGGGGATGGGTAGCTCCTATGAATTTACCGCATCACTGGGGACAGGAGCCTTATAGAGTGGGCTTTTCATTGGTCCCCTAAGAGAAGAGAGCTCCAAGAAGCTTCTGTGGAGGAAAGAAAGGATGAAACTGGTAGGTGAACTTTGTACTTTCTGAGCAACAGTGTGATATGGGGTATGTGGTTGTAGGGTAATGTGTTTGTAGAAGGAGAAGCTTGATTGAAGGATGGGGCCAGGGGGGAATACCCAGGCCCTCTTCAGAACTTCTTGTAAGCATTTAAAAAGAGAAGAATCAAGAGAGAATAAAAAGCCATCCTTTGAAATCAGCAAAAAGGCTTATGCCCAGCAGTGATTTATCAGTGTACAGAGTAGGAACATTAAAAGAGTAATTGCTGGTTGTTTATTTGGGAAGAGTATGTGTAGTGTGAGTCAAGACAGGGAGTTTTATTTTCTCTTTTACCTTCTCTCACTTGCATTAGTGTTAATAGGATCATATATTCTAGACTTCCCTTGGCTTGCTTCCATGACATAAATGTTTGAATTCCTTGTTTCGTATTATATATTCTTAACAACAACAGGGGAAAAGAGAAAGAGAATGTTGTGAGCTAAATTATTGTATATTATGCTTTATTGTGTACTGGACTTATTGTCTTGGGTCCATCACTATTAAGGTCATCTGTCCGGATGATCTGTGTTTCTGACAGCAGCTACTACATGGCTTTATAATTTGCCCAAGGCAGTTATTCAGGGGATGGCTACATGCATTTTTTATTTGCTAGGACAAGGTGAGTCTTGATTCTGCTTATCTGGGCTTTGGGTTTTTATAGGTGCTAAAAGGCCTGTAGAGCTCTCTGTTCCCATAATTTTGCATCTATCCTGGAGGGATCTATTTAGGTAGCCATTTGATATACATTGACCCAGTTTATCATGTTGATAAGAGATTTAGTTCTTAGGGTTGCTGCTCCGAAATCCATTTAGTAATTAAACAAATAGCACTTGAACTTCTGTTGTGTCTTGGGTGTTGTTTCAGATTTGGGGCTACCTTGTGTGAACAGCCAGAAACAGACTGTGATTGGAGGAAACCCAGCAGAATTAGAATGCTAAAATGTTGGGGCTGGAAGAGATCTTAGAGACAGTCCAAACCAGAGGTCAGCAAGCTTTTCTGTAAAAGGCTAGAAAATAATTACTATTAGGCTTTGGGTTCCACATGTGGTCTGTGGTGGGTATTATTTTTTCTTCATCTTTACACATGTAAAATTCATTCTAGGCTAGGAGTGCAGGCATAGGATGGATTTTGCCCATGAGCCATAGTTTGCCAATCCCTAGTGTAACAGATTGCCTTCATTTTACCAGTGAGCAAACTGAAGGCCAGAGAGGGAAATGACCTGCTGTTCTCTCTTCTCCCACCCAAGGTCAAACAGCTAGTTCTCCACACAGCTGGATTGGTGACTCTTGGTAAAGGATTCTGGAGTCAAGCCCACAATTCAAACTGCTTAGGTGCTTTGCAAAGGTATAACTGTGGTCCTGAGGAAAGTATGAATCTTATTGAATTGTTATGGGGTATCTCGTACATTCCAGGCAATGTGTTTGGGACTGAGGGTGGAAATTAAGTACAAAAAGTTCAAGGTTCCAAAGGTGGAAAGTGGTACACACAGACAAGCAGTGAGTATTGTCGAAGCCACGTCTGCCTTTGCAAGTGGCTGCTTATGTGGGTGAATCCATTAATTGATGGCACTTTCTTGACTTAAGTTTCGGAAGCCACTGTCCAATCTAAAGGAATAGGATAGGGAACCTATGCCCCCTTGCAGTTGCTTGTTTTATTTTGGAGGGGTGGGGGACTGATACTTTGAGGATATCCCATATATGCACAGGTAGCTAGTGAGCTCCAGAGACCTAAAATGAAAAAAGATTCAGCCAGTCACCAGAAAAAGACGGTTTATTTGGCTTTGAAGTTGATCTGAGCAGTGGTGTTGAGACACATAAAACCATACCAAACTGATTATAGAGACTTTTAATGCTGTAGAATTTGAAGAGATTTTAATATCTCTATGCTGAAACCTCTCATTTAACAGTTAATGAGTATAATCCCTAAAGATGTTAAGTAAATTAACTCTGGGTTACGTAGCTAATTCACAGAGTCTCAGTGTTTATTCCTGATTTTAGAAGGAAAATAGTGCTCAGATATTAATAAAGATGAATGATTGTAGCCAACATTTATCTAAAGTTTACTATGGTATATATAGTAATACTATCTCATTTAATTCTGACAATAATTCAATGTCATCGGTATGTCTACCAATGTCATTGGTATGTCTACCTTATTTTATAGCTGGAGAAACTAAGATTGGAGAGATTTAAATAAAATCTGCCTAGATAATCTAGCCAATTAGCCATAGGGTCAGGATCCAGGTGTGGGTTTAAGTTTTTGATCATGTATCTGCTCAGAGCCTGTCAGTATTCATTAGAGAAACATATAATACAAGATATATGAATATATAAGAACTTACAAAATTGGCTTACAGTGGCCAATCACAGAGTCAGATTTGGATGAGTGCAGAAGGTCTGTCTTCCCCTGGAGAGCCAAAGGATCCAGTCAGAGGTCTGAAGCTCACTGCAGTATCCCATGGGAGCCTGGATCAGGAGGCTGATGGATCTGTGATGGAAGGGAGGAGTCTGCGCCAGCAGGCTGAAGGATCTGTGCTGGAACCCAGGAATTGGAAGACTGGAGCTTTGTGTAGAAACAGAGGCAGATCTGTCCTTTTTCTTTCCCCCTTTGTTCAGGTGACAAACTGCCCTAAGGTGAGTTTTCCACACTGATGGTATGGAATTGCTGAGCCAATTCAGTTGAGCTTCTCTTATTCAAGTTGACAGGTTGCCTCAGTCAACCATCAAAGAGCCCTTTACTTCATCTCCAAATGTTTGAACTGTGCTTCTGTGTTAGCTTGTGAGCTTCTTGAGGGCAGGAGCCAGATTCCCCTCATCTGTTTTTCCTCACCCTGAGTGTGCTGTGTAAAATTTGCCTTTAAAGTATTTGCAGAATGGATGAACCATTTGTCACCTCTGGTGACAAATGAATGGGACTCCGTGACTGAACTAGGGCCATGTGTAACTGCTGACATCTCCTCTTTTCAAGAGACAGAGAGGCTCATATGCAGATGTGGGCCAGGACAAGTTTTTTTCTGCATCTGTCTTTACCGTGTCCTTGAATACTTTTGAGAGTTAATGTGCACAGCAGAATTAATTCTCTTCAAACATCAAAGATGCTTTGAAGACGTGACAGCCTAGTTGGTTTCTCTGAATCTGATGATGTCTTTGTGGGCAACTGGAAGGTTCTTTCTGCGTGTGATAACTTCTGCTTTTTGCACATCCTTTTTCAAATTGTGATTTCAAACTATATTCTGAGGCATTTTAGGATTTGTGGGCCAGAAAAATTGAGGAATTCTGTAAACAAATCAGGCATGGGTTTGATTTCAAGCCAAGTAATGTATAATACGAAAATATATTTACTGTTCCAATTTTTCAGTTCTGACAGGTGAGAACCGCCAACTTGTTAAGTTTATATGCTTACAATGCTTTCTTTTTTTAATGTAAGTTGAATGATTTTTCTCTCTTGTAGGATATCTCTAGAGGAATTTTTTTGAAGTCAAAAGCTTTTTAAACAGATTTGTAGAGATTGTTTAGAAAACAGTCTTTACTTAAATTACTGGGTTTTTTAAAATATGAACGATGAATTGCATATGTTTACCATTTATTATTAGTTGGATTTTTTATACAGCATAATAAAGCCAGGGTCCTTGGATTTTAGTTCAGAAAGCTGTGTCCTTTGAACCTAGGTCCCTGGGTTTGTTCAAATAAGCCAATGTGCAGCATTAATAATTGCTGCATATCACTTGGGGGAAAATCTGAATTAATTAAAGGAGCTTTCATTCGGTTGCAAAAAAAAGATTTAGGTTTTACTGGCAAGGCTTTTTAGAGATTTTAAGGGAGAAGAGATGTAATACAACACACTTGTCTCATTTGTAGGTGTTTGAGAAATCTCTTAAAATAAAGAAACATTTGTTGCTCTATTTTGAATATTTGTTTTCTAACACAAAATAGATCAAAGACCTCCTGATGTTTCTTGCCAAAACTTTTTCCTTTTATGTCTCATCCAACCCTACACATTTTTTATTATATCAGGAAGGAAATCTCACTTAATGAATACTTGTTATTAAGACCTACCTTTAAATATTTCTTTTTACTAATGAATTTTGTCATTGTATGAGGGTGTAGCCCAGGTTTACTGCAGTTTGTGTCTGTTCCCCTCCTCCTTTGCCAGTAGTGGTAGGTGCCCGTGGGAGGAGGGGGCAGTGGTAGGCTGGCCAGAAAGGCTGAGAAGGGTCCTGTTCACTGCCTGGTGGCTTTTTGTGTTACCAGGTGAAGATTCAGTATCACCATGTTCTGGAGATGGGCCGATGTGTTTTTGCCAACTTTTATTTTGAAAAATTTCAAACAACCAAATTAGTAAAAAAAGTCACTAACTCCCACATTTAGATTTACAAATTGTTTAAAATTTTACCACATTTGTTTTATCTTTACAGAAGGATCATATTTACATTTGGTTGGGGGAAGATATAATACTTTATCTCCTTTTTCTTCCACATAGCCATAATACCATTGCCATGTTCTAGAAATTTGACATCGATTCCATGATATTGTCTAATATACAGTTTATATTTAAATTTTACCTCCACTTACTTAGCTTTTACTGTGTAAAAAGTCATAACAAAACCTACTAGCTTAAAACAACTTCCATTTCTTGATGTTTACAGTACAGTGAGTCAGTTGAGTGATTCTTCTGATATGGGTCAGGATCAACTGATTGGCTGGGGTCCTCATACAAGTACAGTCACCTGCCAGATCTACTAGGAATTGGCCAGTCTGAGTTGACCTCAGTTTGAATGGCTTATGCCTGCTGTGGTGTCTCATAGAGAGTAGGCCAGTCTTGCTCCCATGGCTTACGGGTAGGTTCTGAGAGAGACAGAAAGAGAGAGAGAGAGAGAGAGAGAGAGAGAGAGAGAGAGAGAGAGAGAGAAAGAGAGGAAGTGGGCAGAGCCTTTGGTGGCTTAGACTTGGAACTGGCCCAGCGTCAGT